GTAAAACATCTGAGCTGTTGTAGGTCTTTAAAGCGCCTCAGCTGCCTGACAACTGTGTGAGTTCTGCATTGCAAAGATTGTAGATGTTTCATCATGTTGTCTTTGTCTGAGCTCCTCCCAGATGAGTTAGCCCCTCCCCCCGAAGACTTCAAGGCCGAGACAGAGCCCCCTACGAAGGATTCAACCAGCCCCATTCTTTTGGTTATAATCCTGTCTCATGATGTCATATGTGAGGATTGGAATGCAGATGGACCGGTAAATCCAGAGCGTGGCCTTTCGGCTCATTCTTGGACACAACAGACCGGAGCAGCGGCCTCATTACTCTGTAAACAGAACCGTTCCGTCCTCCTCTCCACCGGTCAGAAACAGGACAACAAGACAGTTCAAGAAAAAGGAAAACTCAACCTGAACCGAAGGAGAGATGAAGGTTCTGTTCTCCAGAGCTGTCACTTCTCAAAAAACATCCTGTAGTTACAGCTGTCGACCACAGATGGCGCTGATGAGTAAAACATATTGATAGATTTATTTATTTTACATAACATAGAGTTATTTAAACATACATGTGCTATTTTAGCTGCTCACGTGTCAAAACAGTCAGCTCATTCAGGAGATGACTGAAGTGACTCTTGGTTTTTATCATTTTTCTTTTTTCAAAAACTGTAACTTTATTTACACATATTTTCACAACAGAAACACTGAGATCTCTTCAAATCCTTTAAAACAGGGTTCTCGTTGAAACCTGCTCCAGTATACATGACTTCATTTTGTGTCTTCTGTTCCAACTTTTAGCTTTTGATAATTTTTTGCTACATTTAGCTTTTAGTAGCTTGTTCGTACYTTTATCGAGTATTTTGTTTTTATATAAAGGTTTGTTTTTAACATATAAATAGCATTTTGCTATTTTTAGCAGGCCTTTACTACTTTACTAGCATCTAACTAGCCTTTTGCTACTTTTAGCATCTCTTATGGAAATATTTGGATAATCTTAACATTTAGCTATTTTATCTAATCATTTGCCACTTTTAGCATCTAACTAACCTTCTGATGCATTTAGCAAGCCTTTTGCTACTTTTAGCATTACATTTTCACTACTTTTACCTAACATTTTGTTACTTTTAGCATGCTTTTGCTTTTTACCATTTTTAGTATTCAGATAGCTTTTTGCTACTTTTAGTTATCACTAGCTTATTTTTATTTGTACAAACTAGTATTTTGCTACTTTTAGCATCTAACTAGTATTTTGCTATTTTAGCAGGCCTTTACTACTAGCATCTAACTAGCCTTTTGCTATTTTTTGCAGGCCTTTATTACTAGCATCTAACTAGCCTTTTTCTATTTTTAGCAGGCCTTTACTACTAGCATCTAACTAGCTTTTTGCTACTTTTAGCATCTAACTAGCATTTTGCTAGCAGGCCCTTAATACTTTACTCGCATTTAACTAAGCTTTAGCTATTTTTATCAAACCATTTGCTACTTTTAGTTCTAATTAGACTTTCACTACTTTTACCTAAACTTTTGTTACTTTTAGCAAGGCTTCTGCTATTTTTAGCATCCAACTAGCCTTTAGCTACTTTAAACTAGCCTTTTGCTACTCTAACTCTCTGGTCTGGGAATGCCTCGGAGACCCCCAGGACGAGCTGGAAAGTGTAGCTGAGGAGAGGGCGGTCTCCCTCCTGAACCCGTTGCCTCTGCAACCTGACTATGGAGGTAGGTGTAACTAGCATTTGGCTACTTTTAGCATCTAACTAGCCTTTTGCTATTTTTACCTATAACCTTTTCCTTTTAGCAAGCCTTTTGCTACTTTTAGCATTTAACTGTCATTTTGCTACTTTTAGCATCTAAGTAGCATTTTGCTATTTTTAGCAGGACTTTACTACTAGCATCTAACTAGCCTTTTGGTACTTTTAGCATTTAACTAGCCTTTTGCTACTTTTAGCATCTAACTAGCCTTTTGCTACATCTACCTAACATTTTCCTTTTAGAAAGCCTTTTGCTACTTTTAGCATCTAACTATCATTTTGCTACTTTTAGCATCTAAGTAGCATTTTGCTATTTTTAGCAGGACTTTACTAATAGCATCTTACTAGCCTTTTGCTACTTTTAGCATCTTACTAGCCTTTTGCTACTTTTAGCCCTTTTGCTACGTCTACCTAACATTTTCCTTTTAGCAAGCCTTTTGCTACTTTTAGCATCTATCATTTTGCTACTTTTAGCATCTAACTAGCCTTTTGCTACGTCTGCCTAACATTTTCCTTTTAGCAAGCCTTTTGCTACTTTTAGCATCTATTATTTTGCTACTTTTAGCATCTAAGGAGCATTTTGCTGTTTTTAGCAGGACTTTACTACTAGCATCTTACTAGCCTTTTGCTACTTTTAGCATCTTACTAGCCTTTTGCTACTTTTAGCATCTAAGGAGCATTTAGCTATTTTAGCAGGACTTTACTACTAGCATCTAACTAGCCTGGTGCTACTTTTAGCATCTAACTATCATTTTGCTACTTTTAGCATCTAAGTAGCATTTTGCTATTTTAGAAGGACTTTACTACTAGCATCTAACTAGCCTTTTGCTTCTTTTAGCATCTAACTATCATTTTGCTACTTTTAGCATCTAACTAGCATTTTGCTACTTTTAGCATCTAACTAGACTTTTGCTACTTTTAGCATCTAACTATCATTTTGCTACTTTTAGCATCTAACTAGCATTTTGCTATTTTAGCAGGACTTTACTACTAGCGTCTAACTAGCCTTTTGCTTCTTTTAGCATCTAACTATCATTTTGCTACTTTTAGCATCTAACTATCATTTTGCTACTTTTAGCATCTAACTAGACTTTTGCTACTTTTAGCATCTATCATTTTTCTACTTTTAGCATCTAACTAGCATTTTGCTTTTTTAGCAGGACTTTACTACTAGCATCTAACTAGCCTTTTGCTACTTTTAGCATCTAACTAGCCTTTTGCTACATCTACCTAACATTTTCCTTTTAGCAAGCCTTTTGCTACTTTTAGCATCTAATTAGTTTTTTGCTACTTTTACTTCATCTGCATCTGTCAGCTTAATGAACAGTTTGAGCTTGAGAAGGGACAGAGTTATCAGAGTAATTTCACAGAAGACAGTCTCTGACAGATAGACTCCCCCAGTGAGTCAGCAAACTGACAGAAGCTGACAGGAACAGACTCCTTCAGGATGAGGTGAGTTTAAAACATGCAGCTCTTCAGAAACTCATTCGGATCAAAGTGTTCTTGATGAAGATGATAAACAGGCCTGCAGCTTCATCATATGATGCTGCTGATGTCAGGACACGGACCGGATGAAGCCGGTCTTAATTCCCCCGGGCCTGCACGAGCTCACAGCAGAGAATTTAACCCACGCGCTTTTATCTGTTCAGTTCCTGCCGCTCATTCTGGGCCGACATTCGTATTTCCACCTTTTTCTAAAAGTTCCTGAACGCATCATAAAATGTCAGCCGTTTCTAAGGACACCGAGTACCGGTACCGGTCCGACCGGTGGCTCCGCTCCTGATTCGCCGCAGATCTTTCACTCATGTCAGCTCAGACGGAGAGAAAAGAAAACCACGGATCATCTCGGCAGCGACGTCGCTTCTCTCACCTTTGACGGTTACCTTTGGGGGGGATCTGGAGGTCCACGTGCGTCCCGCAGCGGCTCGGTGACCTTGGAGCGGGAAGATGCGTGTGTGCCCGCGGAGTGGTCGGCAA